TAACTGAAGTCAGCCATGGCCCCAACGCTGCATCCTGACTTCCTTTCAATCTGTCTCCAAGCTTCTGGCTCAGTCTTTCCGAAGACCCCTACTCCCATTACCCAGCCCCTACCCCGCCACTGCATCCAATCCTTCTCTTCTCCCCGCTGCTGGACAGTGGGTTGTTGCCTTGGTCAAGTGTCTCCTCTGGATCAATTGTCGGTGGCCATTCTCAGTTGTCCTTGAAATCTGAGTTAGGAGGGCTGAGCATGGGTTGGCGTCTCCGGCATCCACTCAGTCATTGAGTCGGAACCCTGTCTAGTAAATTGTTCCCTCTCCCCTGATACCAGCCGTGAGTGGTGGCCCCCTGAGCCCATCGGCTGTGGAGTTCCTGTGGCATTTCTGCAACCGTGCCTTGGGCCGTGGAGGGGCCTCTGCCACCCCCTTTCCGGCACTAGAATGGAAGCTACAGCAGGAGAGGAGCCCTAGCGGGGGCATTTGCATCACACTTAGCACACTGTCTTGCCCGGGGACACTACTCAGAACAGGAGAGAGGTTCTGAAGTGGCTGCCACTGGGCTCATCTGACACACTTGCAAGGGCTCCTTAGGGAGGAAAAACCTACTCGGGGGAAGAGGGCGTGGATACGTGAAAAAGACATCTTCATGAAATTATATAGTAGCAAAGTGACACCACTAGCATCGCCATCATTTATAGAGCCTTTGCGCCAGGCACGTTCTAAAAGCACTTTGTGTACTTTCCCTCATTTATTCCTAACAGCCTCCAGGCGACTATAGGTACTATTATCTCCTTTTTACAGATAAGGAAACTGAGCCTCTGGGAGATTTAGAAACTCACCCAAGGTCACAGAGCTAGGAAGTGAAAGCTTTCCAGCCCAAGCCTCTCTAATGCCAAATCTAGTGTAAATTGTGGCACACATTGGGAGAATGATGGGCTAATCTTCCAAACGTCTTATTTAGTCAACATATGAGAGCTCAAGGTTTCTCTTGCAGCCATTTTGTTTCTAAATACATATGACCCCCATCCCTCCCCTTGGTCCGCTCGATGGTGTTACCACACAGCTGGTAGTACTCGTGTTTTTTTCCTTCTTCCAGATTTGCCTTCCAAAACAAATTTATTAATTGCCCTGCTTCTAGAGCTTATGTCATACTCTTTGATTCCTGGCATCTAAATTGTCATTAAAACGTCTCTTGGAACTGTTCCCTGTGACATTACAGACCGGGTTCCTGCAGCATAATTCCACTGGCTGATTTTTTTTTTCCCTTGTGTTGCGTTCAGATGATGAATGGTCCCCCGATGCTCCTCCAATCTGCCTTCCTGCCCTCAGAGACCGATAGCACGGGTCCTCTTTTCCTTTCTAATGGCCCTGCTCGCCTTCTGGCATTGTCGGGGCTCAAAAGTACTTGCACGCGATGTGCCTTTGGGCATTCCAGTTTGCCTCCACCTCATTGTTCTTGCTTCTTCTTCTTATTACTATTATTATTATTTTCGGCCATGCAGTATGCGGGCTCTTAGTTCCCCAACCAGGGACTGAACCCGTGCCCCCTGCAATGGAAGTGCAGAGTCTTAACCACTGGACCGCCAGGGGAGGTCCCTCACTGCTCTTTCTTTGTTTCCTTTTTCTCCACTCCGGCGCCTCCAGTCTTCACTCTGGCTTTTTTGTGCTCCCTCCAAGCTCCACCCGTGCAGAACTGTCCCCATCCTTCAGCATATCCTTGGGACTGGCGACACAGCACCCAGTCTCTCTTCCTTTCTTTTGAGGCTTCCTCTAAAGTTTCCATTACTTGACCCCTCTCCTCTCCTCTTGTTATGGCGAGGTCCTTCCTCACGTCTGTTCCTCAGTCCCAGGAGAAAGCAGCTGTCCTGCCTGTCATGCTTTCCTTCAACATGCATTTGTGTAGCCTCTTCTATATGCCAAGCCGTGTGGTTACAGAGATGGGTAACATAGTCTTAGGAATTTTAAAAATTTAAATAAACTTTTTTTTAGAGCAATTTTAGGCTCACAGCAAAATTGAGCGCAACGTACAGAAATTTCCAATAAGCCCCCCGTCCCCACACGTGCACAGCCTCTCCACTGTCAGCATCCCGCATCAGAGTGGTACCTTTGTTACAGCCGCTGAGCCTGCAGTGGACACATCATGGTCACCCAAAGTCCATGGTTTCCATTCGGGTTCACTCTTGGTGGTGTGCGTTCTACGGGTTTGGACAAACGTATAATGACATGTATCCACCATCGGACTGTCATACAGAATAATTTCACTGCCTTAAAAACCCTCTGTCTCTCAGGAATTTTTAAAGCCTAGTAAAAGAGGCTGGAACATAAATAATCACCATACAATTGAAACCATGTTGAAGTAGAGTTAAGAACAAAAGAACGCAAAAAAGAGATACTCCTTAGTGGGAAGGCATGGAAGTTTGGGGGTTCAGGTAAAATATTTGAATTCTGTATATTTGCAAAGGATAAGGGTGTCGGGACCAGCCTGAGCAGGGCCACACAGGCATGAGTACCCAGGCATGTTTGAGGGAACGCAGAATGTGTGTCAGTGGTGATCAGGGGCGAGGCTTCTGCAATCTCATGGGTGGGAATTGGAATCTGACCTCTGCGTCCTACTTGCTGTGTGATCTCAGCCCATGACTGAATCTCTGTAAGCCTCAGTCTCCTCATAGGGAAAACGGGGATGGTGACAACACTTGCTTGCAGAGACGCTCTGAGGGTTAAAGGGATGCACTCCTCTCTGCTTGGCCTCTGGTGAGGATTGTACCTTATTTCCTGTGCCCAGCCGGCCCTGTCCCAGTTCCTGTGGCTGCAAGAAACTGTCTCCACCTCTTCTATGAGGGCCTCCATGCCTTTTGATAGCCAGGGCTAGTTTTCTGATCTTCCCAGCTGGATTGTCACCAGGTTTACAAAGAAAACCCTCTCCCTTCCTCAGTTCTTCATCTTTTTTTTTTTTAATTTTTTATTGAAGTATAGCTGTATTACAGTGTCATGTTAATTACTGCCGTACAGCAAAGTGACTCAGTTATACATATATATGCATTCTTTTCCGTGATGGTTTATCCCAGGATATTGAATATGGTTCCTCTCCTTCTGTCTTCTGAAAGAGAATCCTGAGGGTTACTTGAGGTCCACAGGCCCTTGGTCACAGAGAGCTGTTGGTAAATCCTGCGTTGGGAGTCCCTGCTCCGATTTCCAGTTTATTCTTAAATCCCCTGAACCAGCCAGGCCTTCCTCATTCTTAAATACAAAGCTTTGAGTGCTTGAGTAAGAAGGACCTCTCCTTTTGACCTTTTGGCTTTTTGTGGCTGAGATACTTGAGAGCAAATTTGTCCATTTGGCTGGTACCCCCTCTCCCCCCTCCCTGCAAGCGCCTTTCAGCAGGAGTGAAACCCCATGTTAAGTGGGCATCACGGAGCCCAGAAAAGACTAGCTGCATTGGCCCCAGGTCCCAAACAGAGCTTGTAAATGAAGTGCTGGAGCAACTGGGAAGGCCACAGCCTCAGAGAGCCCTTGACACTGAGCCTGGGGCTGACATAGGCCCTTGTTGGGGCCAGTCACCGTGGCCAGCCTTTAAGCTTTCTGGATGTTCAAGGCTTCGGAGCAATGACACATCGAGTTTCCCAATGCCACTGGGGCAACAAAGGCATAGGCCCAGCTGTTTGTGCAGCTTTCCAGAGGGATCTGGGACAGCAGGGGGCCTGGAAGGCTGTGGAATCGTCTCCTCTCTGTTAACTTTGACAGCAGCTGGACCCTCCCAGGAGCCGTGGGACCCTCCCATACTTCACTCCCTGCAGCCACTGCTTTCTAGCTCTTAGGCTGACATTAACTAAAAGCAACCTGGTGCTTTATGTACATTATCTCAAATCATGACCAGCTGGGGAGCTGGCCCCATCCCCATTTTACATACAAAGGCTAAATGATTGACACAGGGCAACTGCACAGCTGGGGTTCACCCCCAGGGTGGCACGAGTCCCACCCTGGTGATCCTTCACCCAGGGTCCCACGTTGTGTTGCCTGCCCTGGAATGAGTCAGATCATTATCCGGGGTGACAGGGAGGTTGCTTAGTAACCGAAACCAATCGAAAAGCATGAACTGTGGCTTGACAGATTACTCAGGATAAATTGGTCTCAGTGGTCACGTGTAGCTCTGGACATTCCCAGAACTCAGGGAATTACTTGGAAAGGAGGCGGTAAGAGGGAGTTAGAGCCAAAAGAGAGATAAAGTGCTGGAACTATATGTTGACAAGAGTTTGTCTGCTTAAATATGTAGGTTTTAAGTTACACTTGCCTCGTGATTTCTACTTCTTCTGTGGCTGTGGCCTGAGGTTTCAGCCCCAGCAGTCCAGCTTCCCCAGCTGTTCACATGCCAGGAGGGGCAGTGCTCAGGGTGGGAGGACGCTCCCCAGGGGCCAGGGCACCTGGGATTAGAACGAGTTTACTTTCCATGGTCTAGCAAGTGGGATTTATATTCACCATTATTATTATTATAGGTTAAGTGGTTTTGATTTGTATTTTTTGTTGTTGTCTTGTTTTTACAATGTGACCTTTATTAAACACTTGGACAGTCTTAAATACATTCAAGGCATTTAAAGTATTAAATTTTCCATGCTTAGTACGGTTCCTAGAACACAAATTAACTAAGGTTCAGATATTTCTTCAGAACAAAAATGTTGCAGATTTCTCCCACCAGATCTGGTTTTGTCCCACTAAATCTCTACAGCATGGAGGATGAATCTAGAAAGCCCAGTGTTGACTTCCAACAAAACATAAGCCAAATACTCGACCTCTTAACCCACAAAAGAATGTAATTTACTGCATAAATTTCCAGTACTCCTCTTGGGCCCTGGGTAGACCATTATTGGCTCACAGCCCTTTTAGCCACCAGGTAAGGCATCCCCTATACTTCTTAAGCCTTGGAAATCTAGCACCATGATTTGACTTGTATTTTGACGGGTGACTTAAGTTGCGATTCCAGGAGCTCACCAGTGGTGCATCTCCCTCAGGTCTTAAAGTACGCACTCCACGCCGTCCACACTTGGCGTGTGATGAAGCAGTGGACGCTGATGAGATCTGCCGTCTTCAAACCTGAAGTGCAGCAATCACTGAGAGCACAAACCAACCCCAAACCAGCAATGAGCAGAGTCTAAAGTACTTACCAAGCCTTGAGATGGATCTGGTAGAGAAATTTTATTTTGAAAACCACCCAGGTAATAATTCTGGCGCCTACAGCCAGGTTTGCGAAATCTTGAATGAACTGTCTTGGACAAACAAAGAAATTCTAGTTTTTGATTTGCCAACTTTTGAAAGTTCCCCAGTTTTGAAACAAAAAGGTTGTATTAACCAATTTCCTAGGGTCAAGGTGGTAGCAAAGCAGCATCGCGTTCTGGTTGGAACCTTGGGGAGAACAAGTGAGGTGTTTGCATAATCCCGGTATCGTGTGGACTGGAAGTAGGAGCTCTCAGTGATGACAGTAAATAGCCACTGGGAACATGGGTGAATTACCTCACTTTTTGGTACTCCACTCTCCCCGTCTACAAAATGAAGGACTTGTTCTGTGTGATTTCTGAGTTCCCTGATGGGTCTAAAATTCTGTGATGGGAATCTCAGCTCTCTGGAATATCCTTTCATGCCGAATGATTTAAATCATATTATCAAATATTTATTGAACCCTTGCTATGTGTCCAGGAAGTGATATTCTTTGAAAAATTGGTTCTGGGATTTTAAAAAAAGTCGTGGGGGGCGGGTGGTGAGCGGGAGGGGACAGATGCTAGTGAAGAGAGAAGGACGGAGCTCAGTGACTAAGAATTTCTGAGCCCTAATAGTGCCCCTGCTTTCTTGTTTTGAGCCATTTTGTGTGTGGTTAAAGTGCAGGCTACAGTGAGACAATTGACCGAGAGCAGCAAACAAATATAACCTGCTAGATGGGAACTGAGCTACTCAGCCCTTTGGATGACAAATATTGCTCGGCGATAAAAAGCACTAACGCATCAGGGGCTAATCTGGTGCTAAAATGCTGCTTCAGGAAAAATGTATTCCCAGAAAGGAAATGCTGGTGATTTGACTGATGGGAACAGCTGGAGGCCCCCGTATTCGTCCAGATAGGAAGCAGGAAAAAATAAAAAAGAAGTCGTATGGAAGAAACTGGTGAGCTATGTCTCTCGAATGTTCTTGTTGCCCAAGGTGTGGGAAGGTATTGATTATATGACCTCTCGGTGGCCTGCAGGGCTCCCAGTCTGGGTGCTAATGCTGCTGAAGGCCTTAGTCCACCCAGGGGCCCCCAGTGTCATGCTTTCTGTCTAGGAGGTAGTGGTCCAGGGTCAGGGCTTTCAAACAGCTGTTAGAGTTTCGCAGAAGTGCTGAAGGTAGAGGGGCTGGGAGGGTGAAAGGAGGAGTGTGGTATCACCGGCAGCATCTCCTTAAATCAGAACAGTTCTGCTCCTACAGTATCCTGCAGTATATATTGGAGCCCTACCTGGGACGTTGGGACAAGTAGCCTGTTGGCAGCCTCACAAGCTACTTTGGTGGCATTAGTCACCCATCTGGCAAAGCCAAGCTGGGCAGAGACTGAGTGCTCAGTCCGCCTCGTTTGGCTGGGGCAAGTGACTAACAGTGTTTGGGTTGAGTCTGTGGGGTAATGTGACCAGATTTCCTGGAACAGAGAACTGGGCAGATGGTACATTTGTTACTGCGCACCTTCTCCCGCGTCCCGCCACTGTCCTGACCTCTGGGGGTGGTGTGGTGTGAGGAGTGAGGGTGGGGTCCACGTAGGGCAAATATTTAATCTTCACAACAGCCCTCTGGGCTAGCTCCTATTATTTCAACTTTTAGAGGAGGGAATTGAGAGTCCCCAAGTTCTAGGATCTTGTCTGAGGCCATGGAGCAAAGGAAAGTGCTGGGGAGACATCAAGGGGTATGGTCATCAGTCGTCTCTTGGATCTGACTCCAAACACGCCCCAAAGTAGCCTAGTGCTGGAAGCAACCAGAACCTTCTCTGGGTACCATGAAAACCAGGAGTCCGGAAGGCCGAGCTGGCTCAGGAAGACTGTGACGTAATCCATAATTCTTTACTCGCTTCAGCTCACAAGCCCTAAGGCTCATCAGCCCTGAGACTGATCTGGGGATCGGTCTAAGAAGGGAGGTCGAGAAAGGACTCTTCTGAATCTCAGGTCGGCCACAACTTCCTGCAAGAGCTGAGAAAAACCCCTCTAACAAATGAACCAGGGTCAGAAATACTGAGCCGTACCATAGGCAATACGAAGTAATAAATAGTTGGATTTTCCCCAAATTTATAAAAGTTGATGCAAAGAACTCATTATTTTTCCTTAATACATGTTGATTCAAGATCCTTCAAAATTTAGGGACCACCATTTTACTTTCCGAGGTGAAGAAAATATATGATGTAGAATAGGCACTTCATAAACATTCCTGAAATGAATAGCTAGAAGAGGAAAAAGACAGAGTTATGTAAAGCATTCCTTCTGTCCCGTGATAAATGCAGGAGACTGTACCCCTTGGAAGGGAGCTTTACTGTGAACCCAAAACATGTTCTTTACTTCTGTAAAGGTGCTGAAAACTTGAGTGATTATTTTTTTTATGTTTAATACTATTTATGTGTTACATGTTGAAGGTCTTATAAAGTTGACAGACTACAAAGAAAGGAGCTGGGGTGATATTAGTGGAAGGAGAGTAAGATCTTCCTTCTTCCTTGTTTTCATGGCAGACCTCTCAGATGGAGTTTCCCTCTGGTCTCTCTCGGGATGCAGACCCCAATAAGAGTGTGGCCTGACACACCCGTGGCCTCACCACAGACACATGTTTAGAATTCCTCGGTCCCCTGGGAGGCAGGCAAAGAAAGCCCCAAGCAAGAAAGGCAGACACTGGGCACTTTTGAACTCATTCTGGGTATTAAAGGAGCATTAAATGGGAAAGGATATGTGAAAACAGCAGCCAGCGGTTTTAGCTGACTCAGGAGATAGCTGTCCAGGAGACAGTGGCTGCACAGCCAGATCTGCAGTCCGTACATTTAATACGTACATTTACGATATTTTCTAGACCAACTGTCTAGACCCACTTGTGTGCCTGGTGTCACCATATGTAGAGTAAAGCCATCTACAAAAGGAGGTGGATCAGAGCCACATCGGTGCCTTCTTCCAGGTAGAGAGATTCATGGCAGTTTGGAGTTTTCTGCCCAGGGCTGGCGCGTAGCCTGCACACCTAGCGGTGGGTAGCCTGATTGCCTACGGCCGGTGCCCATGCTGACTGGTCGATGCCCATGTTCTACCCGCTGTTAAATACTTTGACTATCACCTCTTGTCGTATCCTCTGTAATACTGGTTAGTGGAAGGTCTCTAGATTCCACAGATTCACAGACCTCCATCCTCGTTCCTGTCCTCAGGAACGGCTTTAAAGAAATGGCAGAAAGTACCATTTCGAGGTGAAACAAGCTTGATAAATGGGTCTCAATCTCGCCCCCCATGTGGATAATGATTGGGTCTTGGCTTAAATGTGACTTCTCTAGAGAGGCACTCCATGACCCCTAATCTAGACTACGCCCCCTCCTATATGTGCCCAGAGCTCGCAGTAGGTACTCCCTGTGTTATAACATTCCGTATACTCCATTGTTCTCACTTGTTTTTAGGGAACTTCTATCCTCTGTAAAGTGTGTAAAGGCAAGACCTTGTGGATCACTCCCTGGGCCAGAGCCTAGCATCAAATAGGTTCAGTCAGTATTCGTTGAACAAATGAAATGAATTGGTGTTGAATATTTTTTAGATGGCAGATATAATAGCACCCTCAACGGAGTCATTCTATAGGGGAGATAGTAAAACCATCACCTGGGCACAAATGCCACATATATGGGGTGTTACAGGAAATGCAATGAAAGGAGAAATTTGCTCACTGTCCTGGGCTGGTGGGAGTGGGGGTGAGGGGTGGTGTCATTGGTAGGATTTGGGGAAGACTTCATCATGAAGGCAAGTCTGAAAGTGGGAACTAAGAATTTGCCAAGTGGGGAAAAGTGTTCCAAAAAGAGGGAGCTGCAGGTAGAAGCTCAGGGGGTATTGGCCAGATGTGGCATATCTGGAAAGGACACTCATTCAAATTGAAAAGAGTTAGAGCATCAGGGAAGAAATAATGAAACAACAGGCCAGAGAGGTAAAGCAGGGTTTTCTAAGGCATGCTACAGAGGCTGGGCCTCTATACAGTGGGGAACGTTTATAGGATGTTAACAAGGGCAGTTACATGTTTCAAAAACATAATGTTAGTGCTAAGTATGGAGAATGGGTTGAAAATTGGAAGATCCTGGAAGTAGAGCTATTTTCTAGAGGGCAGGTCCTCTCTTCTTGTAGCATTCAAGGTGAAAGGGAGAGGAAATGGTTAAAGATGCCACGATGTTTCCCCAGAGGGGGAGGGTGTCTATATCTTGACGGGCTGACATGCAGTGATTTGCGATTTAAGACTATCCTATGACCTCTTTGTAACTCAGTAACTGCATCTGTAAAATGTAGGGAGTGGACTCAAAGACCTGCATGTCTCTGAGCATGAACATTCTATAACTCTACGGAATCATAAGCTAATAAGATGAAGTAATGTAGGAACTCGTAGTATATCACTATTAGTAATAGTGTTGTGGGAACACAAATTATAAAGAAATCAACACAGATACTGGCTTAGCAGCAATTCTTGTGAAAAGACCCAGGACTTTGATTTGACTGCAAGTCGGCATGACCAGCAACGTGGGAGGGGGGCTGGCCGAGAGGAAGAGGATGGAGAAACAGAGGTCCCAGTCTCTGTGTGCCTGCCAGGGCATCCCTTAACTTGGAGATTGTCCTGGGCCTCCTTTTAGAGGGACATGAACATCCAAGAAAGACGAAGTGGCCACGGTGGTGAGAAGTCTGGTGTCTGGATTGTAGGAAAACTGAATGAAAGAGCTGGGAATATTTAGCCTGGAAAGTAGAAAACTTAAGGAAAATGTATTAGCTGCACTTGAAAGACTTCTGTATAGAAAAAGGATTTGATTTTATTGGACTTCAGTGGCCAGATATAGGACTAATGATGGGACATTTCTGAAGGCATGGTTTGGCGAAAAATATGTAAAAAAAAAATCTATCCACCAAGTAGGTTTTTCAAAAATGAAAGAGACTTTTGTAAGTTTGGTTCATTTGCCATACGATTTTTATGAGGGAGGGAGGGAGGAGTTC